TAAACCCGCGGGCGGAACGACAGCGCAGAGCAGCACCAGCGTCGGGGGCACGGCCTGGTAGCTTCAGACCCAACTGCAGGGAGGCCGAGCGGTGGCGGCGCTGGGCACAGTCCGGCGTGAGGGGCAGGGAGGGAGACGGGAGCCCAGGCTGGGCCCACCAGGCAGCGGGGGGGGCGCCGAGCGCCTGCAGAGAACCACAGGGCGGCAGCGCTGCAGCGGCAGTGACAGCCCAGGCTGGGCCCACCAGGCAGCGGGGGGGCGCCGAGCGCCTGCAGAGAACCACAGGGCGGCAGCGCTGCAGCGGCAATGACGGGGGCAAGCTGGCAGGGCGAGGCGGCGCCCGAGCCCGTCAGGGCAGCGGGAGGGCCCAAGCAGCCAAGAGAGGCCGAGGGCCAAAGCCCTGCAGGGTCCGTCGGACAGGGGGCGCGGAAGGGACGGGCACCGAACAGGTGCAGGTCAGGGGTGAGCGCAGGGCCTCCCTGCCCTGGTGGGCAGGGCGGGCCCGCCGGGGGGCGGTGGGGCTCGAGGATCCGCCGTCGAAGAGGGCAAGCGGACCCCCAGCCCATCCAAGCTGTGACGATGGATAACTACGCAGCCCCCCTGCCCGGGAGGACAAGGGGGGCGGGGGCCGACGGGGGCAGCACCGAACAGGTGCAGGCCGAACCCCGGCCCGGGCGGGCGCGGGTGGGCAGCACGGGCGGGGGACAGGGGGGGCACCTGACGGCTCGGAGGAACAGCCGAAGGCGCACCCTGATGCGCAAAGCTGCGCCTCTCAGCCTGGGGCGCCCGGCCCCGGAGGGGGCAGCGGGCGCCCGAGATCTGAGGCGTCCGGCGCACCACTGGGGAGAGCAACGAGGAGGACTGGTGCGGCTCGGCAGAGGACCGGGGCCGAGCGCAGATCGTGGAGAGGGGGCGGCGTGGTGCCCTCGGGGCGGCTGCGGGGCATGCCTCGAGCGGCGCAGCTTGTGTGAGGCGGGCGCTGGGATCGATTAGGCCCGGGAGGTCTGGGGGTAAGGCGTGCGGCTGCCGGGCAAGCGCTGCCTGGTCTGATCGTTGCTGGGCCAGATTGGATCGGCACGGCGCTCGTTGCCTTTCCCTGAAGGGTCCTGGCCCTTGCCTTTGTCTTTCCTCTTCCCGTGCAGCTGTTCGGTCCTGCGTATTTGTCTGTCCGAAAGAGGATGCACACCTGTGACCATGGAGGAAGGAGGAAGACGGGGAAGCTAAGCTCTGGCGCCGCGTGGGTGCAAACATGAGCGGGGTGTGGGTCCCACCTTCCCTGGCGGGAGGGGGAGGCCCACCTCGGCCCGCCTTTCCTTGAAAAGGGACCGCCCTCCTGTCAGCCTGGGGTCTGGAAATCAGAACGCGCGAGGGGGGGGGGGGGGGCGGCGGCACGCACCGGGAGTGGGCCGCGCAGGTGGTGAAGGGGGAAAGGCGGGGCGTGGGCGCTGAGTTTGGCACAAAGCGCGGCGACAGCGGCTGTGCGAGGATGGGGGAGGACAGCGCGAGAGGCGGGAAACGAGAGGGCAGGTGAGGAGCGGGGACGGCCCGAGCGGAACCACCACCACCCGGCGTGGGGGACTGGTGGCCCCCTCGGCATGGCTCTTCGTGAGTGCAGCCGTGGGGTCCACGGCCTCCAGGGGAAGCCGACCTTCCCCTGGAGGCCTGTGCCGAGCAGGGCGCGCTCCTCCCTCCCCACCCTGGGCGTCGTCCTGGCCCCCTGGCCTGGCCCCCCCCCCGTTGGCCCCAGGCGCGGAGGAGGGAGGTGAAGGTCAGGAGGCGATCAGCGGGGAGAGGGGGCCGCCAGGAAGGAGAGGGAGGGGAGGGGAAGGTTAGGTGAGGACTTGGGGTTCCTCAGAGGAGGTAGGAGGTGGGGCGCAGATAGTTCTGGGTCCCGAAGGTGAGGTCGAGGTCCCCGATGTAGAAGGATTGGCAGAAATGGAAGTTGGCGTAGTGCGGAGGCGGCGGCGGCATGGCTGAGGGAGCGCAAGGCGTTGCAAAAAGCAGAAGCAGGCGCGGGCGTTTGCGTGAGAGACTCGCTTGTGTCACTCGTCGTGGAGTTGGAAGCGTGGTGCTGCAGTTGAAACGCTGCTTTGTGCAGCGTACGTGGGAGTTCCTGGTGCCTCGTCGTGCGGGAGCTGATGCTGCTTCTGCCGTTGGTAGTACCATGGGCAATGAGTGCGTAGGTTGGGTAAAGCGGAGTGGTGAGAGGTGGCGAATCAGGCGGTAACCAGCTGCAGGTTTGAGCAGCCCGCCTGAGCAAAGCTGGTGGAAGACATGGGAGGACTGCGCCTCGCAGTGCGCAGCTGCAACTGTAGATATTCACGCTGGGAGAGGTCGGCATCGGCGCTGATGCCCCTCGCGGCGAGGGTGGCCCTTGCGACGGGCCCTGCCCCCAACACTGCTTGGCACGGGTCGCCAGTTGCCAGACCTCGGGCTGAAGTCACTGCAGCGAGCGGCTGTTCTCGGCGCCTGGTTTCCGCAGGCCCTTGAAGGGGCGGGCGGCCGGCGAGGCGGCAGGCCGCGGGTCGCTGCGGGAGCTGGGCACCAAGCGCGACGAGCGGCGGGAGCTCGAGGGCAAGGCTGCGGGCGCCAAGCCCCTTCACTACCAGATCAAGCTCCTGCAGCAAGGGCGGAATGCCCAGGATGCCACAGGACTGTCGCGCGGCGCCACCGCCCTGACCAGGCTGCTGGAGCAGCAGCCCGCCGATGCGACAGGGGCCGCAGCAGGCGGCGGCGCGGTTCAAGCCACAGCTCCAGGACGGAAACCAGCCCCACGCGAGAACTGGCCGAGGCGTTCGCGACAAGCCCCTCTGGTGCCCATGGCTGCCAGTGCGAGGCCGAGGTCCAGCCATAAGCGCACTGGCTCACGGCAGAGCTCGGGTCTATCGATATTGGTACGGTCGACGATCTAGCTGGCGACGGTAGTGCTGACCCTGGAGGCAACGGCGAGGACAGGCTGGAAAGGCACGAGCCGACGCTGGGCAGTGGGCCACGGCAGCCATCGCAGCAGCGAGCGGACGCGCAGCCTGGCCCCACTATCCGCCAGACAGGGCGATTGCTAAAGGCTGGCTCGTGCGGGGTGGACCTCAACGCCCACGGCGGGATCTGATCGGACCCTAGGACGGATCTTCGGGGGTAGCGCCTCCCTCCTCCCTTTCCCTCTCCACCGTTCTCCCCTTCCCGTTGCCTTCTCCCAGCCTCCACCTCTCCTTTCCCCCACTCTCCCACTCGCCCTCCCCTCCTCCGCATCCCCTCCTCCCCTCCCTCCCTCCCTCCCTCCCTCCGCTCCTCCTCTTCCTCCTCCTGTTCCTCCTGCTCCTCCAGATCATCCTCCTCCTGCTCCTGCTCCTCTTCCTTCTCCTCCTCCTCCTCCTCCTCCTCCTCCTCCTCCTCCTCCTCCTGCTGCTGCTCCTCCTCCTCCTCCTCCTCCTCCTCCTCCTCCTCCTCCTCCTGCTCCAGAGGCGTGCTAAGATCTCCGGCAACTGGTTAACAATATTTCTAGTTCGCGCGCGCGGGGCGCCCCCCCCTGGGGGCCCCCGGACGAGAAGTACCCGGGCTAGGTCCCGATCCACTCCCGGGCCACTCCCTGCCCACTCCTGGGCGATCCTCCCAGAACGCCCCAGGGGAGGGCCATTTTTCGACACCCCTCACGAGGATCGCGGCCTCCGAGGGGGGAGCCGCAATCGACTACCTCCCCCTCCCGCCCCAAGAGGCCCCCAAGAGCCCCCCAAGAGGCCCCAGGGGCTCCCAAGACGCCGCCAAGGAGCCCCAAGAGGCCCCCAAGAGGCCCCAAAGAGCGCTCCAGGGCCAGCGGAATGAGCGAAGCGATTCAAGAACTTCTCCCTGTCGCACCCCGAAGCCGGTCGAATGGGCGGGCCGGGCGTTTCGCCTGAGATTTCCTCACCGCTTATGACCCTGAAGCTTAAACATTGGCAACAGCTTCACAGATGGAGGGCGGGTCGCTCAAAACATGTGGCTCTCGCCTAAGCGCCGCGCACATTCGTTATACAACATTTCAGGAGCTTCACGGATTGAGGGCGGGTGGTTTTCAAAATGTGGCTCTCGCCTTAGCGCCGCGCACGTTCGTTTTAAACATTTGCAAAAATTTCACGGCTTGAGGGCGGGTCGTTTGCAAAATGTGGCTCTCCCCTTAGCGCCGCGCGCATTCGTTGTCAAAGTGTACAAGAGCTTCACGAATGGAGGGCTGGTCGTTTTCAAAATGTGGCTCTCGCCTCAGCGCACGCACATTCGTTGTAAGAAATTGCGCGAGCTTCACGGATGGATGGAGGGCTGCTCGTTTTCACAACCTGGCTCTCGCCTCAGCGCCGCGCACGTTCTTTTTTACACTGTAACAGTTTCACGGGATCCCCTGGTCAGCGTACCAGAGATGGCCTGTTCGAGAAAAATTCTGGACTGTGAGAGTGCAACCGTTACGCTGGCTCGCAGCGTTGCAGTCCCAGGGACGGCGTTCTGGCACGATTCCGGACCGTCAAGACGCAACAGTCCAGTTGATGCGTGGCGTTGGAATCCCGAGAATAAATGTTTTGGCATGCGTCAGGGTCTTCAAACGGTTGTCTTCCAGCAAGGCAGCTCCCTCAGTGGAAATGAACTGTTGTAGGGGCCTATGACGAGGGAGCTTGGGGGGAGGGTTTATGCCAACGTCGTTGATGACTCTTGGGATTACACTGGTCCTCCTCATCCTCATCCTCATCCTCCTCCACCTCCTCCTCCTCCTCGCCATCCTCCCCCTTCTCCTCCTCCTCCTCCTCCTCCTCCTCCTCCTCCTCCTTTTCCTCCTCCTCCTCCTCCTCCTCGTCCTCCTCGTTTTCCTCCTCCTCCTCCTCCTCCTCCTCCTCCTCCTCGTTTTCCTCCTCCTCCTCCTCTTCCTCCTCCTCCTCCTCCTCCTCCTCCTCCTCCTCCTCCCACTGCCCCTGCTCCTGCTCCATTCCGACGCCAGTCCCCGAGCGACAGGGGCAGGCAGCGGCCGCCGCCGGGCATTCTCAGGCCCTCGCCCCCAGGTGCGACACCTCCCCCTTGGCGCCGCGGCACTTCCCTGAGCGGAACTTCTGGTAGGACGTGCGGTAGGCCTTGTCGCGGCGTCGAAGGGGGGGGGAAAGAGGAGGGCACCAGCAGGACGGCTCCCCCCCCCGGGGCTTCGCCGCCCCAGCCACGCAGCGCGCAATCCGCAGCATGTGGGCACGGAGCTCCACGCGTCGCGTGGAAACGGAGGCCTGGAGCGAGGCGTTCGCCAAGACGTGAGCCAACATGTGCCGAACCAACACGCAGCGTGGCCAACGGAGACCTTTTTGACCACGGCGCGCGCTGCGCTTCGGCACGGGCGTATCTGATACGCCCCAGCTGCCCTGATACTATCAGGGCAGCTGGGGGCCCCGGGATTCTGCGCGCCGCCTGGGCTGACGAAGGGGCCAGGGGCGACGGGCTTAGATGGCCCCCGCAGACCGTGAGCTCGTCGGGGTCGATGACGCCCTGCGGGATGCACTCCAGCGACGGTCCCAGCGGCGCCTCTACGGGGGGGGGGGGGGCGGAACGGCAGTGGCAGGAAAAACTTCTACGGCCAGGAGTTTTTGCTCAGCGAGTCGCCGCGGCGGCCCCGGCGACACGCTCTGCCAGGCGAGCGGGTAGAGCGTCGCCCCGGCTCCGCGGGGCGTGGGGATCGGCAAGGCTCGGGTGAAGTCGGGCCCGTCCCTCTACAGGAGGAAAATACAAAAATAGTCCAAAAATAGTCTGGGGACCATTTTTGTAATATTTTATGACCATTTGGGAGAATGTTTGGGGTATGTTTTATTTTTCATCCAAAATCCCCCTGTAGGGGGACAGGCCCGACCTAAGGCTCGGGCCCGGGACGTGGGCGCCTGGGGACCGCGGCGTGTCGCGCCGGAGCGTGGTGGGCCAGAACCGGCGGAGCGACGCGCTGCAACAAAACCCCCGGCCTCATCCTGCCCCTCGCCCTCGGCAGACAGGGGGAACGCCTACGAGACTCCGGGAATGGTGTGGGGGATATCGGCGCCGGCGACCTGCACGCCACGTGCTTCCCGATGTCTGCTCTTCTACAACGACGCGTTGGATACACCACGTCTGCGACAAGCGGCGCTGAGTCCACCCAGTGGGCGGCAGGCCGGCCTCCTGCGCAAGCAGTGTCGGTTCTTGTTCCTCCTCCTCCTCCTCCTCCTCCTCTTCCTCCTACGTCGCCGCCAGCCGGATGTCCTCAAGCGTCGCAGCCGCGACGCCCCTGAGTTCGAGAAATATGCGCCCGAGTTAGTTGGACTGCGCCTCGGGCAAATTCGAGTGACAAAACAACCGGCACCTGATATCATGAGCGGAGATTGATGGCCAAAAGGAAAGCATCAGCAGAGACAGAGAGACTGGACCTCGTGGGAAAGGCGACGGCTGATTTCGCCCGGCTGATTTCGCCGCCTGGCGAAACCAGTTCCGTCGGCGAAACCAGCTCCGTCGGCGAAACCAGCTGCCGTCGGCGAAACCAGCTGCCGTCGGCGAAACCAGCTGCCGTCAGCGAAACTGCCCGACCCTACCCGCCCACTAGGGCCCGCCCGCCCGACCCGACCCGCCCGTTTGGGTTCGCGCGTGCTCGGTCGAGCGCGACCCACACTTTAATGTCCCGCCCGCCCGACTCGACCCGCCCACTAGGGCCCGCCCGACCCGACCCGACCCGCCCGCTAGAGTCCACCCGCCCGACCCGACCCGCCCGTCGACACTGCCCCACACGTTAATGTCCCGCCCGCCCGACCCGACCCGCCCGTCAGGGTCCGCCAGCCCGCCCCGACCCGACCCGCCCGCTAGGGTCCGCCCGCCCGACCCGACCCGCCCGGCAGGGCTCGCGTCGGCGAAACCAGCGCCGGCGAAACCAGCCGCTGGCGAAACCAGCGCAGGCGAAACCAGCACCAGCGAAACCAGCGCCGACTAAACCAGCGCCGGCGAAACCAGCGGTCGGCGAAACCCGCGGGGCGAAACCAGCCCATGCCGCGGGAAAAGTGCGCCGAGCATGCAAATCGGACAACGGTGCACATCTGAATCCAGGGCTGAACGCAGCAGCTCGCAGAACATTGCCGCAGGCATCACCTCCCAGGAAAAACTTCGAAGGGGCGCTATTGTGAAACCTCAAACTAACATTCCAGCTCCCAGAGACGGTTTTACAAATGGCATTCGAAACAGGGCCGCTCATCTCGATGGAAAATATCGCACTTCATCCCGTTGGACGAACGCTAGCACCTCAGCATTCTCGGGAAACCAGAAGGCCCACCTCTCAGAGACAGTGGCGGCAAGGTCGCCAGGGACAAGCTCAGCCCGGAGCCTTCAACGAGCTTGCCCTGCAGCTTGGCTGGCGCGCCGAGAGGGGAGAGGGAGGTGGGATGGTCGCGAGAGGTCAAGAGCTCCTCAGCAAGTCCAGCGGCGATTGATCCAAAGTGAGAGAGCGAGGGGGCGCGCGGAAAGCCAACGGCGGCATCGCCAAACACTTCCGGAAAAAGCTTCGAGAAAAAGCTTCGGGCTTCCACCTGGGGGGCGAGGCACGGCCCAGGGAACCTTTTTGGGGCTCAAGATGGCGGGCGGCACACTCTCTGAGCTGATTCAGAAGGTCAACGTGATCTGGGAAGGTCTGGGTGGCAGCTCACATCGACCTGCTGGCGCACATGGCCTGAACGCCGACAAGATCGCGCGCCCCCCTAAAAACAAAAAAACAAAAAAGCCGGACGAAGGACCCAACCATACGTAGCTGCGAGAGCCGCATTGTGGGTACCGCTTTCGGTGGAGCTCCCTATGGGGTTGGGCGGGGGAGACGCATGCAAAAGGTGCCATTGGGGCCTTCGGTGGAGCTCCTTATGGGGCCACGAAGCGCTGTCCTGCGCGGGGGACACGCATGCGAACGGTGCTACTGGGGCCTTCGGTGGAGCTCCTTATGGGGCCACGAAGCGCTGTCTTGGGTGGCGGTGACGCACGCGGCCTATGCCAGTGGAGCCTTCGGTGGAGCTCCCTCTGGGGCCACGAAACGCTGTCCTGGGTGGCGGTGATGCGGCCTGCGCCACTGGAGCCTTCGGTGGAGCTCCCTATGGGGCCACGAAACGCTGTCCTGGGTGGCGGTGGCGCATGCGGCCTGTGTGCTTCTGGAACCTTCGGTGGAATTCCCTATGGGGCCACGAAACGCTGTCCTGGGTGGCGGTGACGCATGCGGCCTTACTGGAGCCTTCGGTGAAGCTCCCTATGGGGTATGGGGCCACGAAGCGCTGTCCTGGGTGGCAGTGACGCATGTGGCCTGTGCCACTGGAGCCTTCGGTGGAGCTCCCTGTGGGGCCACGAAACCCTGTCCTGGGTGGCGGTGGCGCATGCGGCCTGTGCCACTGGAGCCTTCGGTGGAGTTCCCATATGGGGCCACGAAGCGCTGTCCTGGGTGGGTGAATCGCAGGGAGGTGGCGAGGCGGATGGGAGGAGGGAGGAGGGGGAGAAGGAGGGGGAGGAGGAAGAGAGGAGAGGAGATGCGGGGCGCTGTCTCTTCAAAAAGAGGACCCAACACCACAGGATGGTTGGGAAATTACCCTGGCGACGTACCCAACCCCTGCGCAAGGCGGGGCAGGAGTAGCTTGGGAGACTTGACGAGAAGGCGGCGATGTGGCATGGACGCATACACTTCTGCGAGCGCCATTCGGGAGGTTCGCAGGTCCCCAACCAAAGGAAACACGATGAGTAACTAAGTGAACCCCTGAGTCACTAAGGAAGACGCAAGGTCCAAAAGGAGACTGTGGGCAAGGTGTTTGAAACGCCGGCGGGGCAGCAACAACATGACATGGCCGCCCAGGGACGGCGAGGTCCCGCTCAGGCCCGCGCAGTGCCTCACCCCGCTGGACCCACCAGCAGTCTTCGAAAGTGGCGAGCCCATCAGCAGCCATCGAAACTGGCGACAGTTTGGCAGATCGCAGCCCCCCAGGGACGGCGAGGTCCCGCTCAGGTCCGCGCGGTGCCTCACTCCGCTGGACCCACCAGCAGCCCTCGAAATTGGCGACAGGCTCGCAGATCGCAGCCCCCCAGGGACGGCGAGGTCTCGATCACGTCAGCGCGGTGCCTCACTCCGCTGGACCCACCAGCAGCCCTCGAAAGTGGCGACAGGTTCGCAGATCGCAGCCCCCGAAGGGACGGCGAGATTTCGCTCAGGTCCGCGCGGTGCCTCACCCCGCTGGACCCACCAGCAGCCCTCGAAACTGGCGACAGCTTCGCAGATCCGAGCTCCCCAGGGACGGCGAGGTCTCGCTCACGTCAGCGCGGTGCCTCACTCCGCTGGACCCACCAGCAGCCCTCGAAAGTGGCGACAGGCTCGCAGATCGCAGCCCCCCAGGGACGACGAGGCCTCGCTCAGGTCCGCGTGGTGCCTCACCCCGATGGACCCACCAGCAACCCTCGAAAGTGACGACAGGCTCGCAGATCCCAACCCCCCCACGGACGGCGAGGTCTCGCTCAGGTCCGCGCGGTGCGTCACTCCGCTCGACCCACCAGCAGCCCTCGAAATTGGCGACAGGCTCGCAGATCGCAGCCCCCCAGGGACGGCGAGGTCTCGATCAGGTCAGCGCGGTGCCTCACCCCGCTGGGCCCACCAGCAGCCCTCGATAGTGGCGACAGGTTCGCAGATCGCAGCCTTTCCAGGGACAGCGAGCTCTCGCTCAGGTCCGCGCGGTGCCTCACCCCGCTGGACCCACCAGCAGCCCTCGAAAGTGGCGACAGTTTGGCAGATCGCAGCCCCCCAGGGACGGCGAGGTATCGCTCAGGTCCGCGCGGTGCATCACGCCGCTGGACCCACCAGCAGCCCTCGAAAGTGGCGACAGGCTCGCAGATCGCAGCCCCCCAAGGACGGCGAGGTCCCGCTCAGGTCCGCGCGGTGCCTCGCCCCGCTGGACCCACCAGCAGCCCTCGAAAGTGGCGACAGGCTCGCAGATCGCAGCCCCCCAGGGACGGCGAGGTATCGCTCAGGTCCGCGCGGTGCCTCACTCCGCTGGACCCACCAGCAGCCCTCGAAAGTGGCGACAGGTTCGCAGATCGCAGCCCCCGAAGGGACGGCGAGATCTCGCTCAGGTCCGCGCGGTGCCTCACCCCGCAGGACCCACCAGCAGCCCTCGAAAGTGGCGACAGTTTCGCAGATCGCATCCCCCATCATCGGCGAAGAGAGGGCAGGAGGAGGCGGGAGGCGGGAGGAGGCGGGAGGAGGAGGAGGAGGACGAGGAGGAAGAGGAGGGACGCGACCAGTGCTCTATTCAAAACGAATACCCAACCAAGGAGGGTTTGGAAAAACTCCAAGGTTCAGCCACCCAGCACTGGATAGCCCGCAGTGAGGGACTTTGAAGAGCGAGGCGAAAAAGGCGCGCCCCGCGCGAGGAAGGGGGAAGCGCGAGGGCAGGGCGCGCTTCGGGAAGAGGGCAGCATAGCGCGACGCGCGGGAGAGCGGGCGCGGCACGGCGGGAAAACATATTCTAGGCGATGGCGCGGGGGCCCCAACCCTCGAGATGACAGCCTGACGAGCAGCTCATTCAACGGGGGGCGCGCGCCAGCTCTCTGCGGGAACAGAAGGCCCCCAAACAAGCCCAAGTGGGCGGGGGAGCTGACTATCTAGAAACCCCAGCAGGGCATATAATTCCGACGCCAGAAACGAAACTTGGCGGCCGAGCTGCGGGGCGGGGCATCCATGAGCTCGAGGAGTTAAAGACGCGTTGCACTTCCGAGGGCGAGGCGCGCGAGGGCCCCACTGCAGTCGAAGACCGCCCTCGCGCGCAAGAGATCTCCCGGCCGGGCAACCGCCGCGCCAACGTCGGCGGGCAGGCGCGAGCGAGGCCGGATTCCCCGGGGTCGATCCCCCCCGCCAACTCATCTCTGAGGGCGAGCTCGCTCGACTCCTAGCGCGCCCCCAGTTCCCTGTGAAAGTCGACGCGGAAGGCTCTGCCCGCGGCGGCGAGCAAGTAGCGCCCCCGACTCAGGGCACCTTGGACGATCCCCAAATCGATGGGGAAGACGAACTCGCACATTTGAGCGAATGCCCCAGGGCACTCGACGCCGGCGCAAGGCCCCCCCCCCCCCCCGCGAAGGTGCACTGCGAGGGGGGGGGCCAGAGGACTCGAGCGACGCCGCGCTCCATGGGCGAGCAAGTGAAGGGCAGGCCTACGCGCGACCGAACGCATGGAGGGCCGGCGGCCGATTGGCTGCGCATGGAGGCACGAACAAATGCGGACCCTTCGCACCTGCTCCAGGACGTTCAGCCCAAACTTCTTCCCATGCACACATCTCAATTCGGAGTGGTGCACTTCCCCATCAAAATGTCAGCCGAGACTCCCGCGCATCGTGCTGGTGATCAGCTTATTAGAGCACTGCTCGACGCCTGAGGGGTGCGTTTGGGAGGCCTCGCGAGCGACGGCGCCCATGGCAGCATAGCTTTGCCGCGGCAGACCACAGCGTCGCCGGATCCATGACGCGCGGCGCATAACGACGCCTCTTACAAGCCCGATAGGGGGCCCATCAAGCCCATGGGCGCCATCATCAGCGCGCCCCAGACGCCGCCGAAAGGGGCGAAGGAAAAACTGAGGAACATCAACAGAACGAGCAGCAACTGCATCTTCCTTCGCGAACACTGACCGCCAGTGATCGCCGAGCAACTGCGAGGCGGCAGCTGGCTCCGCTGCGACCGAGCCCCCGCCGGTTGCCTGGCCCTGCAGGGCCAACCTGCGGTCGAGAGACGCCCACAGCTGGCCCCTTCGGATGTGGGGCTTGGTTTCGGGTCATTTCGTCGTTCGCATTTGATCTGGTCCGTTGTAAATTCGCATCGCTTCAACTGGTTATTATTTGATGAGTAGAGTGGGGGCGGCCTTGGAACTCAGGCTGGCCGGTCAGCTCCACTGCGATCCGAAAAGCAAGTTTGCCCTGTTCATGCGAGCGCCAAATCAGCTGGGCACATCGGACGGCCCGCCCCCACGTGCCCCCCCCCCGCCCCGATGTTCTTTACGATTGTGAGGCGGGCAAAAAGCGACTCGGGAGCTTCGGAGATCACGCTGCCCCCGGCGACCTCCGCAGATTCGCGCATCATCTGGGCGCGAATCTCGAGCTTTCACGGGGGGGGCAACCTGGCCTGGCCACATTATGCCTCGACGTTGCCCAGGAACAGCTGGCGCTCAGAGCTTTCGCGCATCTCGGGCGAGAAAGCTCGTTCAGAAACATGGGCAACGCACCCCGGCCTGAATGCAAACTGGACTGGTGCGCGGCCCAGGACCCCGCGCTCGCTGAGAAGCGCGGGGGGGGGGGGGGGGGGGGGGGCGCGTCCGACTCCAGAAGACTGAGCTGCGCGCAGTGCCAGCCTGGGAGGAAGATGAATTGCCCGTCGATATGGCCGAGCGATTTCTTCGAAGCAACGTGGCGACCTGGGCTCTGGGACCGCCAACTCCACCACCCCTCCAAGGAACTCCGCAAAACCTCATCCTGCTGACTCTCCCATCCTGAAGGAACCCGCGGGCCGATTCGCCAGCCTCGACATCTGGCCCCTTTCTAGGCGGCTCCCGAGATAAGTTAAAGTCTCACCCGACCAGCGCAAAGGACTTCGCGGGGAAATCCTGGGCGTGATCCAGATGCAGGGACACAATATGATGAATTATCATCTTCTCCTCCTCAGTGGGGATCTAGCTATATATAGTGTAATGTACGATGATTTTGCCGTCGTGCACAGTAGAGGTAACCGAGATTGCACGACCTGGACACATTCGCGAACATTATCATCTAGTGGCATCACGCAGAAGATTGTCAAAACTTGCGAAGAAGATGGCGGCACCTCCTGCCTGGGAACTTGGACCAGATGATGAATCTGACTAGTGCTGGAGGTCGCTCTGACAGATCGGATCACGGATCTCGAACCCGCTGCCGTGGCTCCTTGCAATGCTACCATTGAACCAGGGGTCCAGTGCTTTCGGGGAAGGGCGAACTTCTGTTCACGAAGAGCGAGGCTGTGATTAAAGAGGGCACGGGCGTTCCATGTAGTCGAGATAAGAGGCCACGTTGCTTGGCGAGGGCCCCGCCAGTCAAGGAGCACACTGCTAAAGAGACCAATACGGCGGGCTGACGAGGTTGCCCGAGGCGTAAACACTGTTAAGGGCCGCATCTTTGTTGATGCCGAACCCGGCCAAACTGGGTAGGCATCATTCGATGTTGGGGGGTTCGTCTCCTAGAATGAATGGGGCGTGGGCTTCGCAAGCGGCTTCCAACCCGCTGAAATCATCCTTTTCTGCTTCTCACTGAAGTACGTATGACCACCTGCCACCATCTCGAGAGCACGACGAAGTTGTTTGAGACCCAATTCTCGTTTGACCATCTCTGGCGACTTGCTCGTGCCGACGAAAATGTCAGATCTCTGCCCGCGAAGGTCAACCCCGACATGACGACCCCGCTCACCATTGGGATGACAAGGCGCGCAGATCGCATGGGCCACTGCTGGGCGTAAGTCGGTTTTCCCTGAATCATGGGGACGGGGTTCTTGTCAGCTGGGTCGGCAATGACGAAGTACTCGGCCCTGGTGATCTGGGACCTCTGGATCCATGATTGGGGCACGTTCCCGACCTTCTCACGAAGGGTAACGGACTCTCACCTGGAGACTACGATGTATGGGTCGACGTTCGTGTTGAAAATTGGATCGGGGATCGTTGCCGTGAGCTCTTCTGCCTTGATACACAATGAAGAAGTCCATGCAGCTGAGCAAATTGCCTCTCCCGGGTCTTGCCTCGATGGTCTGTCGCCCGCTGCTGCCGATCAACCCCACCGAGACGATGCTCGACCTTCCTGTTGGACTGGCACAAGTGGTGCCAACGGTCTTGCCGAACATTGCGACCGACTGCCGAAGCTTCCCAACTGCGCCCATGAGCTCCGCACGCGTGTCGTCAACAATGCCCCGAAGCTGGTGCACAGTAGCCAGAGCATCATATTCATCATGGGCCCGAACTTTTTTCTCGGGACTCTCGCTTCCTCCCCTATCACCACGTCCTCCCCGTCCTTCTTGCGTGGGGAAGGTGGCAACCTCCTCGATCTGCGCTGCCATCGCCTCCGCGAGAGCCACCTCATCGCCGTGAGACATGTCAGGACGGGTCTCGAGGCCGAAGCGAAGCCACAACGCCTGAAGTTCCTGTGGAGGTCGGAAGCGGAAAGGCTGCAGGGACTGGAGCCAGCCCCTCGCCTGCGTTCAAGCTGAAGCCGCCAGGGCTCCGCGGTTTCAACTTCAGCCGAATGGCCACGGACCTCCTCCTCCTCCTCCTCCTCCTCCTCCTCCCTTTCTTCTTGTGGCGAGTGCAGCAGTTCACCGATTACTCTGTTTGCAGGCATTCGAACCGTATGGGCGCTTCGGCCCAACCATGCAGCACCCGCGCGGCGGATGCTGCAGGACATGTCCGTGCCCAGGGTTGCGTTGACGAGCTCGTCCATCCCCCATACCACTCCTTAGACCAACTATGGGACCCCTGGCGAGGGGGAAAGGCGGCCACAAGTAGGAAGCGCAAGGAATTGCTGGACAGATTTCAACGTGGCTTGACACCCTAGAAGTAGCTGTCCGAGTAGTGTTTGATGTTCTGACTTCGTCAATGATCCCAGTTCATTGCATTCCTCCTCCTCCTCCTCCTCCTCCTCCTCCTCATCCTCCTGTTCCTCCTCCTCTTCCTCCTCCTCCTCCTCCTCCTCCTCCTCCCTCCTTCCTTGCTCAAATGTCGGCTGCAGAAACACATAGGCCTTGGCCAAGCTTCCAACGTTTGGCCACAACGGCATTTCTGGAACGGCAGGGGGCGGCGGAGTTTCGTCGTGTGTCTTCGAGAAAGCATGTCAGAAATAAAAAAGAGTACGACGAGCGTCGCCTCATCCTCCGACTCGTCGCTGGAGGTACCGTCGTCGCTGACGTCGACGAAGGTGTTCTTGACCTTAGGGGAAGCTGTGCCGATAAACTGTGACAGCCTAGGTTTGGCCAACATACCTGCTGTCGACGTTGCGTAGTCTAGAAAGGTTGTTGTAGGACTGTGTTCTGAGTCGGAGACCAAATCATGACATCTCCAGGCAGGAACACAAAATTGCAGGAGTGTGTTATGGCTACTCTTGCATTGCAGAAACAAGCAGGCATGCGTGGCCTCGTTCGCTGGGGTCCTCGTCGCCATGGCTGGGCGTAGCTCGAAAAACTAATCGGGATCACAACATCTTGCGATCCATCATGCATTCGTTAGGCATCCCGCGGCTGTGCCCGCTGCTTTGCGCTAAGCCGCGAGAATGATGGCGTAGGCGGCGCGCTGCCTCAGCCTCCTGTTCCTCTTCCTCCTCGTCCCCCTTTCCCTTCTCCTCCTCCTCCTCCTCATCCTCCTCCTCCGCTTCATCTTCGCCCTCCGCGTACATCCTCCTTCTGGCTGGCAGGGAGCCGGGGGAGAAGGCTGGTCGGGGCCAGGCGGCCAGCGCAACTGGCGCCCCCACCTGCTGTGCGCTGTCCACACAACTCCTCCTCTCCTTGCATGTACCCCTACTGCTTGAATTTACCCCTACTCTTGAATTGATCCACACAATTTCTCCTCTCCTTAAATTTACCCCTGCTCTCCACCCCAGCTTGCCGATCGGGGCCTCCCGCGCGAGAGCGCCGAAAACGGCGCTCTTGCCCCGGCGCCGCGCTCACTTTTCAGAGCTGGGTTCCCGCTTGGTGCGCGGCGCCTGGCGACCCTTTTGTCACACGCGGCTTCGTCGACGCGCGAAGGGACGAACGTGCAGCTTTCGCCCCAGCGCCGAGCAGATTTCGCCCGGGAGGGGGCGTGTACGGAGGTAGTCGACCAGAGAGTCGAACCTACCGTATGATCCGTAGGTAGAGGCGGAGGAGGAGGAGGAGAAGAAAAGATGGGGATTTTGCTCCTCGCAGGAGGATCCAGCAGGATATCCTGTATGTCCAATGCCTGAGCCGAGAGGACAGCGGGAAAGATGGTTAAAAGAGGGAGGGTGGGCGGTTTTCACAAACAGTGGGGCTCCCACCTAGACACGGCGCATACTTGTTACTCGCCAATGTTTGGGGGGGCCCGCGCGGCTGGGCGACCTCTCGCTCGTCCATGCTCCGTGCACACGTCGCTCCGAAGTGGTGCCCCGCGCGGGCGCGGCGCACGGCTCGTTCACCGAAGCGCGCGCAGGCGGCGGCGGCAACGGGGCCGCTCGAAGGCAGCCGAAATGCCGATCTCGAATGAGCGCCGCACAGTTCGTTAGTGAAAGTGGTGGTGCTGTGCCAGCGCGGTGCAGGCTTCGGCCTCGAAGCTCTGCCGCTCCCGCCCGTGCGCGGCACGCGTATGTTTCCCTCCGCCACGTCGTCAGGAGCGGGGCCCGCGCGCGGTCCGTTTGCGAGATGGAGGCGCGTTCCAATCCCAGCACCAAGTTGTGCCGCAACTGATCCTAATGTGGTTCCCGTCTTGGAGGAGAGGAGGAGGAGGAGGAGGAGGAGGAGGAGGAGGAGGAGGAGGACGACGAGGAGGAGGAGGAGGAGGAGGAGGAGGAGGAGGAGGAGGAGGAGGAGGAGAGGAGGAGGAGGAGGAGGAGGAGGAGGGAGGGAGGGAGGGAGGGAGGAGGAGGAGGAGAAGGGAGGGAGGGATTTTTGGATTGCAAGCGCGATGAACCTGTGACGGCTGTCGCGAGAGAGTGGCGCTGCAGCTAGCAGAAGCTTTAAAGATCAGTCAGGCAGGCCGGCTGAACTAAAAGACATAAATCTGCACGGGCACCAAGTGGGGAAAGGTCAGCACAGCACGAGCGCCCCCCGCATCAGAGCGGATGGAACGCGTCGAAACAAGGCATGTAGATCGTACCTCCCCCCCGCTACTAACAATACTAACCCTGCCACCCGACCCATAGTAGGCGATCCGCACTCATGGCGGCCTAACAGGGACAGTATCGCAGACTCGCAACCGTGGTCAGTGAGACAAACAGAAGGCGACGGTCCTGCGACTGGCTTCTTTGGCAGCGAGCCTCGCCGGCCCCTCTGCCCTCCCTGCAACGTGCACCCGCCCTGCTACCCCATCCTGCACGGGTGGAGGCACAGCCCACCTGGCGGCGGGCGCGACGACGACGACGCCGAGAGCCCTGCCACGGGCCAAGCGCTACGGGTGCTTGGTTTGGTCGCGGCTCGACCCCCGAGACAGGTCAGAGGGGGAGGGGAGGAAGAGGCTCTCTCGGAGGGGAGGAGGCGAGGAGGCGCTCGCTGCTACACTGCCGCGCCGCTCGCTCGCGCCGGGCGGCGGGGGCGGCAGGGGCGGGCGTGCGGCGGCGGGGCGGCGGGGGCGCGCGCGCGCTCCACTCTCCCCTCACGTCCACAACCCTCGTCGCACCCCCCATCCTCACTACCCCTCCACACGTCCGTCCTTCGAAACAGTCAGGGTCCGAAAAAAAGAAGCGGGGGCTCCTGCAAAATTCACCTGAGGCTGCAAACATCGGATACCCCTGAAGACCGAAGTTGGACGACAGACATCACATCCAAGGTCCAAGAGAGGCAGTCTGCAGCAAAACTGATCACGGTGAAAGTCAGAACTACTGTGGCGCGTCTCTTGGAAGTCAGTCGGCTATGGCATAGCAAGCTCATTCAGCGGACGTGATTCCAGCTCAGCTCGAAACTGACGGATGAGCTGGGGGTTATCTGTATACCACCACGGGACTGGCCAAAAACGGGGAGGGCACGCATTAACCATAGTACCAGTCACAGAGCGCTGGTCTTGGCAAAGCCCGAAACGCTGGCAACAGAGGTGGAGAGATCAGGGCGCGGCCACACAAGTACCCCAGGATGTACCTGCGGCCTCCATCCTGACAGCCTGCTCACAAACCAGCAAAAGGCGGGAACCACGGAGTTCCCAAGTTTCTGCCTTGGCTAACGCAGGCGTGCCGTCACGTAGGAAGGTGAGGTGAAAGAGGCAACGCTGGGCTCGCCAGACGGTGTAACTGTGAGAGCAAGACCAGGGCTGACAAAGTGCCTGACCGAGAGTGCGATCTTCCAACTCCAACCACCTGCTGCTAATAAATACCCCCTCCCAGCCAACCTGTTTAGTCGTGCGCGTTATCAAACAGCCCGACCCCGAAATCGGGCTGGAAAGTCCACGGGGCTATTCGCTGAGCGCGGCGAATCCGACGTCGCTCTCTGGCTTTCGTACGCTTGGCAGCAATCAGAGCTCGCATTTCTGGTGTGAGCTCCACGGGCTGCGAGGGTGGCGGAGGGAGCGGAGAGGGGGGGGAGGGTACAAAGGGCGGAGCAGACGAGCCGGGTGGGGGCAACACAGTGCCATCCAGGAATGGGAGCGCATCGGCATATTCCTGTTCCTCTGAGGCCTCGATCGGGCCAGGGTCCCGCGGCTCCGCAGTGGGATCATAAACAACGCCTGCATCTGCAGATTCGGTGGACGGCGGTTCGGGGGGCAAAAACCTGTGGCGCTCTGGATCAGCACGAACCCTCCGAGACCGAGAATCGACAAAGTCGGGCGCCCAAGACTCGTCAGTACCGAGATATGGGTCCCAAGCTACATAAAAGGCTGAAAGGGACCCACGAAGCTCCTCCTCCTCCTCCCTCATGTCCTCTGGCAATGCATCATCGTCACACGTCACACGCATATGGTTGATCGCATCTGTGATACCGTCGGCCAATACTCGACATAGAGCGGGAGGGTAGGTCTTCTTTTTGGCGGTACGCCACTCGTCTCGGGCCCGATCGAACCCCATGAGCACCTCGTGGGCCCCGCGTCCGTGAGAACATCTTCCGCGTCCTGGGGTCTCCAGAAGCCTGCCAGAAAGGGTTTCCATACGCAACGCCAGAATACGGGTGGGAGCGCGAGCGACCTGGCCGTGTTCGCATTGATCGAAGTCTGTCACAGACGCAGCCGGGGAGGCCATGATGGCCCGTAGGGGCGGGCAGAAGAAGGAACTTACAGCTGCCTGCCGCCAGCCAGCTGGCATGGGATGCTCCATCCAGCAACAAGTGCCCACAAGCAAATGTTCGGCGAAAAGCTCAATCATGGCTCCAAGAAGCTCGTTGCCCACACGTAACTGTTCCATCTGGCGCGGCGTAACCGACAGCAAGCCCCAGAAGTCATCGTGGGATCGGAGCGCTGGGGGGCCCTTGTCAAGGGCCCATCGCATGGCAGCCCACGTCTCGCACGGGGGCCCGCCTCCTGACAGCACGACACGTTTGGCCCGAACATGTCCCTTCCAAATGTCCAGAGATTCACGGCGCATCATATTGCCAAGAACGGGATGGATAGCGATGTCGATCGAAAGTACATATACAGCGAAATCGGTATGATACTCCTCCATTTCTAAGCAAGCCTGAATATCCCCTGGCCGGCGTCTCCCACAGTATAGGTTAAGTATGTAGTATTCTGACCGTCGGATCGCAGACGGCAAAACCTGAGCAGCTGCATGTGTATACTGCTCGGTCAGAAACATACGCGTCGGGTAACGTTCCGTCTGTACTGGTGGGTACTGGGCGGGAGGGGGAGCGCCGATGGGCGGGTCTGGGGCCGGCGGCATAAGTGCCGCGCAGGCGGCAGGTGTGAGGTAGGGGTCAGATTCAAGTAAAGCCTGGCGGGCGTACTCCTGTGGGACCAACGTCACAAGGTCGGTGGCCAGTTGAGTGAGCGGCCCCAGTAACCGCGTCGTGGGTACAATCACATGTCGGCGGGGAATCCTGATGTGGGGTACAGCTCCGGTTGGCGGGTACGGTGTAGTCGAGTCGTCGAGGTGGTGTGCTGGGTTGTCCATAGTTAATAGGCCGCCCAGCAAGCAGCGAGGGGAGTCGATCGACAGGTGGTCGATGAGGTGGGGTCTGGCGTTGAACTGTAACAGACACACTGCACACGATCCGTCCCGAGCTGCATAACCGCGAGCAAATGTCGCAAGCTGTCGGTGCGTACGGGCAACATGTGTGCGCATC